ATTGCACATTTTATGAAAAATAGGTTGATATATCATTATTATTTATAACAAAAAAATGTATATACAGAATATACAAACTCGTAATAGATGACACAAACAAGCAAAGAAAAATGTTTATTTAGTAAGTAGATATAAAAGACATACGAACAAAGTAAATAACTTAATTAAACATACAAATTTTAATGAACGCAAAAACAATTTCAGAATAAAGAAGTTAATTCAAATAAAAAAAAAGGCATTTATTACAATATTAATGGACACATGTTATTTAAACCCAACTACATAGGAATTCGAAGTATTGTTGGTTTTTTTTGTTTTTTTTTTTTTTTGGGGGGGGGGGGGGGTCCAATATAATATATACCACGTTGACAATCCATTTCCAGATTTCAAATATCGGACGAATCTAAGACTGGATTTAAGCTTGGTATTATTAATTACAATCACGGATATAATCCACACTTTGCAACTTAAATTGGCAAGACTGGTGATGCTGCACGACGGTCAAAGCCATTATGTTAAGCATACATCAGATACTGTATGTAAACCACTTTGAATTATATGTCATTATTGACTAAAAAGGGGTATTTTTTCCTAGTCCCAGGAGATTTATTCTTGTTTCATTCTCTTAGAAAAAGTAATAAAACAGACTCATCGAAAAAAGGCCAATATCGCTTTTTTTGTTTTATGGGAAAAGTCTAAGAGAGGGTTGTTTATAAACATTTTTTGTTACCTTTTTCATGGTAAATTCTTCATTGTATAACCATCAATCTGGTTTCTGTCATGGTCACTAGATACGGTTTATCAGTTTCTAGTACTAGTAATTAAAATATATCACAAGACTTGTATGACCCTGAACAATTACGAAAGACTTTAGACAGTGTTTTGTGATGTATCGAAGGCATTTGATAAGGTGTGATATCATGATCTGATTCAGGAATTCAAAAAATATATTATGCCACCTATATTTTACCAAATCTAGAACACGTATGGCTTGCTATATGTTTTTTTGTGTCTGTGGATGGCTCATTGAAGATGCTATTCATTATCTAAACAGAAGCACGCAGAATTATAAAACAAATAAACATTTATAACAGAATTGACAATCGAAACTATTTTAGTTAGATATAATACAATGTTTGCATATCAGAATAATACAAGAGAGTAAATTGGTGCATCACCAAATGTTTGGGCCGGAAGTAAGGAGGTTTTTGGTGTAAAAAAGTGCAAAATGCTTATATAAACAATCTGTATATTGAGTTGACTTGAATCCTCAATTGCCAGAACTGTTCCAATCCAATTAGTTAGGACAATGCTATAAAATATTACTAAATTGTGCAGTTGATGAAATCGAATATCATTTAAGTGCAGTTGATGAAATGGAATATCATTTAATTCATTTTCAAGTCTTGATTTTGAAACTCGTGACTATCAAAGTTGCATTTACTGACAAAATATTAATTCTCCACGTGTTGTATCTCAGATATGGACTCTAACGCAAATTTTAATCAGTCACTCATATATGAAATGTAGGTCAAGATGACCTTATTTTTATCAGGACCCCTTGGTTATTCGAGACGCATCTATGAACAAAATCTCATGAACTATGACTTATACTTCCACAGATGGATGGACAATAGCTTTGTGACGGACAGATGAAACACTATATCCCTTCCCCAACTTCGTTTGACAAAAGATATAAAAATCTTAAACCAAACAAATGTCAAATTATTCCTCTCAGTAAAGGTTTAGAAATCCTCGACAAAATGTTGTCATTTCTATTCGGTTTTGGTGAAATTTTAAAGTATCAACAAACAGACATAAAAATATGGATGTAGCTTTGTATGATATTTAACAAAGAATTCTGCTCATACCGATGCGAGGGGTCAACTGGAAATTATTATCCGTTATGAGGAATATTGCTCATTGTTGAATGCCTCATGGTGACTTGAAGATGAATGACAACAATAAAAACGTTAAATTTTTGGGTTTTACCATGTATTGATATCAATATTGTTTCATGTACATTTACTCTATATCCCTTCATATTTTCATTGGATATACGACAGACTAAAAAACTGCTTACATACTACAACTAAAAATCAGAACGCTTCAGACAGTATAGCAAACTATTCTCTTCGTAACAGCTGAAAAATCCTTCACAAAATGTTTTCATTTCTGTTGGGTTGCAGTAAAATTGCAAAGTATTAACAAACACCAAGTGGATATTTGAGAGGCTTGAAAATCACTTTCAGGTACTGAAGTTAAAAATCCTTTTTGCGTGAACCCCCTGAGGGGTTCACGCTTATATATTGGTGAGTTTTGGAAGTGGCTATGGGTCATTTGATATCCTCAGAATCAAGATTCTCGGAACGACTCGAAAAGTTTCGGATTTTTCTGCTAAAATATCTATATTTCATTAATAGATACTACCAGACAAAGAGAATATTCTTATTAAGTTTAAACTGAAACTGAATTTATTCTTAATAGAATATGATTAAAATAGTCATATATACGTGCATTATGTCGCACAGGTTTGAACAGTCATTACATTTATGAAAATTATATGCAACGTATGAGCACCAATGAGCACGGATGCGTACCCAAAGGTAGCTAAATATTTAAATTTTAAACAGTCGTGAATGAAAAAAATATGAAGATATGATAGACAAAATAAATGCATCCAGTTTATAATGCAAACTGAGTATTTAAATTTATATTGCGATTGGTTTGTGCAATTTGCATTAGACATCCGGTTTGTAGAAACTGGGATTTGCAAAAGGGTTATGAAAAAATTATGTACACTCCCAAGTAATAAACAAAATAGTCGAGCCTTAAAATGTATATTCAAATAGTAGCTGTACAACTATCCAACATTGCTTTCAAATGACTGGTGTAAAAATCTACACACAATTACATATTTTCAATAAAGGTGTTTTAACATCATCATTATCTTATTCAAGACATAGTCAATTATTTCAATTCAAAAGCTAACAATTTTCAGCAAAAATTTTTTGGTGACCAGTCAGCGGTCTTGGGTTCACGTATTGCTTTTCTTCTTTTTTTTTTGAAAGAAAGCAACTTGTATCTGTGCGATGCTTTTGGATTGGACTGATGATAATCTCTGAGAAAAACGAATGGCTTGAACTTTGACATTTCTGTGTCTTTGTGAAAAACCCGCGAGACATGGAAACATGTTACCTATAAAAACTTCCGAGATCGTTTACGTTGAAAACGCGAACTATAAATCATTTCCCATGTTCCGACGACGAGTTGTTGTAAGGTTATGTTACCTTGTTTACATGTCTAAAAATAACCCGGTTTGGGAATTTACGCAAATATGAGTCACGCATTCTGTGCATAAAAAAACAATGAATATTCATTGTTATAGATATATTTAATTTTTTTTTGGCATCTTCTTCTTTTATAAAGAATAATAAAAATGTATTTATTTCAATTACCTAAAATCTTTAATTTTGCATATACAGAAAATAATATAGATCCGCAGATAATCATGTAACAATTTCAAACCTTAGTGCCGGCCCATAATAAAATGCTCCGCAGGGCGCAGCTTGATACGACCGCAGAGGTCGAACCCTGAATAGTTGGCGCAAGTATGGACACAACATTAAAGCTTGATTCAGCTCTGAATTTGGATTGTGATTAAATATTTGACACGTCATAGGTTTCTGTCACAGAATGAATGTGGTCAAAGAACTGAAAAAAATGAAATTCGATTTTACCTATTATGGTCCAATTTCCAAAATCTAAATGCATGGTTATATTTGGAATATCAAAGAACCACAAGAATTCAATGTGGACCAATTTGATAACGGGGCTCAAAATCCAAAATCTAAATATACGGTTAGATTCTGCATGTTGAAGAACTTTGAATTAAACCCCATTGAAATTTGTCAAGAAATAAGCAATTTATACAAAGTATTAGAAAAGTATTGTTTTGGCCCCAAATTCCTAAACGGTTAGGGCCATAACTCCCAAAATCAATCACCTTCTTATTTTTGGTATGGAACCTTGTGGTAAAGTTTCAAAGAGATCCATAGACTTATACTCAAGTTATTGTTTGGAAACCAGAAATTCCTTGTTTGTTTGCCCCTAATTCCTAAACATTTTGGGCCATATACCCCAAAATCAATCCCAACCTTCCCTTTGAGATAATGAACCTTGTGGTACAATTTCATAGAGATCCATACACTTATATACAAATTATTGTCCTGAAACAAGAAAAATGCTTGTTTTTTGGCCACTTATTCCTAAACAGTAAGGACAATAACCCCCGAAATCAATCCCAACCTTCCTATTGTGGTATGGAACCTTGTGATACAATTTCATAGAGATCCATACACTTGTACTCAAGTTATTGTCTGGAAACCAAATGTCTTAGGACGACGACGCTGAAGACGACATCGCTATATCATATTACGGCCTCAAAAAAAATTTGCGGTCGTATAATTATTTTCAAACGTTTAAAAGGACAACAAACAAACGAAATGGTTTGCAACACACAATGTTATATTGATATTTTCATCTTTATTCTTATTGTTAGAACGTCCCGATTGTTTTAACATGTGACATATGGGCGCAATTACGTTTGGCAATAGCTCACACTAGCCCTAAGGGAAGGATACACTAAAAGTCCATACTATACACCTTCCTTCCGTGATTTTTTCCGGAAATTAGAAGTTATTTCAATTTTACCTTAATGTATTAACCATAAAATTAGAAAAATATCGAATTAACTTTAAATCAGAGGCAATAAACCATTTTGTTTAACAAAATTACTGTTAACCTTTGCTTTAATGTGTATGAATTAGAATTCATTACAATTTTACCTTTATTTGTGTACCATAAAATTGGCAAAATATCGAATCAACTTCAATCAGAGGCTTGTGTTGTTCTACAAATTACTTTTTAGTCCTTGCTTGAATGTGTATATATTTGACAAATATTGAGACAAATTTAACGTCAACATTGTATACATTTAGGTGTTGATGCATTGGAAGGCCCCTTCCAACTGACAAAAAGCTTCATTATTGATAAGCGGGACAGGCGTAGTACTCACAGTGATGATAGAAGTGGTCGACTAAAAGCCAAAACTATAACAGCTGGTGATGTGTCAGCAGGAAGTGTTGATGCCGAAAACATTATGGCAGATCGCATAAAGGCAGGTACAATAAGAGTAAAATATTTAAGAGTAACACGAAAACGGAACCGAGAACAACCTCTAGATAACTCACCGAGAAGAGAAGAATTTAGTAAAGATAAATTTGTCTCATCAGATGGAAAACGGATTAACCGGCAAGACAAAAGTGAAAAGTCGTCTGCAAATAATGGACTAAAACCAAAATCGAAACAAGCAATTGACAAACAGAGACCTCTTAAAAGAAAAAGATCGAAGATTAAATCTGTGCCGACCGAAAAGGATTTATCGAGAGAAGGACTTCATTCTGTACAGCCAAATGAACGTGAACCGGTAGTAAAAGCAGCGGAAACAATACACAATGAGATCCCACCTACACCGACACGACCCCCAGGAATAAACGAAAAGTCTGGATTACTAAAAGCAAAAGAAATTAATTCTAGAAACATTCAATCAAGTTTTGTCAAAGCCAAAAATATAAAAGCTGAGAAAATACGTGCATCAACAGTTCACAGTGATAGTGTTACTGTGAGGAGAAAAGGTGATCGCTTTGAGCGGCGGAAGCCAGTCAGGTCGGAATTCAATGTTTGGTCTGAAATACCTGATAAAAACAAGAAACATGAAATAATTAAACCAGCAAAGATACAACTAAACGGGGATGGACAGAAAATACCATCTAAATCAAATGAAATAAATTCAAAGCTCTTTCCAACAACCCCACCAGAGTTCAGCCCACACAATAATCAGCCTTACCCATTTGTATCACGTTCGACGCATGTACGAGATAAGACATTTCCTCGTCTGAAAATATCTTTGTCAGGAAAGGATGACGAAGAAAAGGAAAACGATCCAAATTCACATAGAATGAAATCAAAATTAAACAACTTTCAGTTTCTTGGTTTATCCGATAATTACTCTAGAAATTTACAAACTGAGAAACAGACAAACCGGCGACATCCTAGTTCAGCTGGGGTTACAAATAAACTGGATGCCAACAGATTTATAATAAATCGATCCTCTATGAATACATTTCTGAACTGATATTGTTGTTATGAAAAAGTTTTGTTTTTTTAAATTAATTTGCTTCATAGTGAGCATGGAAAAAACGGGGAAAAAACCAAAATATTTTGAATAAACTACAAATGCAATAAAAAAAATTACGAAAAATATTAATTATCACTGAGTATGCAATAAAACATAATAAACACGAAGCTCTTAGTGTCTTTTTACCAAAGCAAAAGTAAAGAAGGATGATAATATTGAATATATATTACTAACAATTTTTAAAAAGAAAAACATGATGAGGAAATAAACAAATGTACATAATAGGTTTACTCATGAAAAAAATATAATCCATTTATTCGGCCCATTCTAGAATATGCGGACGTTGTATGGGAATCTCTCAGTAAACTTGAGAATATCCAGATTGATGATGTGCGTATTGCTACAGGGGGTACAGAACTAACCAGCACCAATAAATTATATGTTTAAACTCAATGGGATAAACTGTCCAATACAACACGCAATCATAGATAAATACTTTTTAAAAATAAAATAATAAATAATAAAACAAGTGTCTGATAGTTTAAATGGCGGATACCGTGGGAAGTAGACATGGCCATTACAAAAGACAACCCAATAATTTTTTACAACTTACTACACGAGCCCGTCTATTTTCTGAATATTTTGTCAAGTGAATCTCTATCTATTTCTAAAAGACATTTTCGTACTCATGATTCATATCGTCGTGGAAAAGTTCTTAATACTTAAAGATGGACACGGGTTCATTAAATTCACACCTTTTCAGAATTTGGTAGCTTCCAAATTCTCACTGCCTGTTATCTTGTCCACTATATACCGATTTTAGGGAAGACGATTAGTCTTCTCTTTTGGAACAACCTATTCCTTTTGAAGCCAATATCTTGCTTTTTGCCTCAATGAGCAGCACAGCCTGGTATTATTTGGTACAGAAATACATTATCAAAAGCAGACGTTCTGATCTATAATTTAAATGATCTATCAAAAAATAAACATAAGCATTTCATACTGATCACAATACACTATTTTTTCATGGTTATGCAATACTTCGGACGCATGAAATTATTAAACGTGTTGTTTTCAATTTTTTACATCACTGGGTCGATACCTCTGCTGGTGGACTATCAGTCCCCGGGGGTACCATCAGCTCAGTAGTCAGTACTTTGGTACTGACATGATTTATAACAAACCTTTCTAAAATTGTCTGTTTATAAATTTTGAAATTATAAAGAAACTAAGGTTTCAACTCCCTCAGGCAAAGTTGACCTTAGATGAATTTGGCTATTTGTTTTAGGTATTTTTGTCATATAGCTCTTCAACTGTTTCGGTACTTATACATCCCTCGGATTTCAAATGTTTGGCTTTGAGCGTTCCTGGTGAAGGTAAATTCAGAAAAGCGCTTCGGACGCATGCAATTATTAAACGTGTTGTTTTCAATTTTTTAATGTAGTTTTGACCATCATATCTATTTCATGCATAATATTTTATATTCATATAAAATGAGATGCAAAAACATACGTCGAATAATAACTGACAATGATTCAGTGCTGTGGCAAAAAACGAAAAACAACCAGAAGACAAACAGTACACAAAACACAACATAGAAAACTAAATACTGAACAGTTCGAACCCCATCAAATGTGATGATTTAATTCATAAGATCTTGTTTAAACTAAGCATCAATGAGGACTATTTTAGACTTATTTTCTCAGCTGGTCAGTTTTCCTCTTGATGTACCGGTACCTAGTCGGGATCATGAATATTACTAATGAATTAGCTCAGTAATCAGTACTTCAGTATACTGACATGACTTATAACTTACCGTTCTAAAATTGTCCGTTTATGAACTTAGTAATTATTTAGAAACTAAGGTTTCAACTCCCTCAGGCAAGTTGACCTTAGATGGAGTTGGCTAGTATATTTAGTTATGTTTTAATGCACGTTGTTTAACCAAACATAAAGTATTTATGTGCTAAAATGCTCCATCTGTTTTGAACATATATGTACTTAATTGAGCACATGCAATTATGTACACTTCAACATTAGCCTTTACAATAAATAAAGTAAGTTTTTCTAAATACAATAGAACAAACACAAGTTTGGATACTAAATGGCGCAGTGACCATCTCAAATTTTATTTTCTTAATACACTATGCATCTGATCTGGTTAAAAGTCCATCAAACTACAAAAATAAAGTCCCTCAAAAACACAAGATACACTGCCTGACAGAATCTTGGACAATATCACGTTCTGTAACAAAATAATCTACAAAATAAAAACAACACATTTAAATACTGTACTATATAAAAACCTGAATACAAATATTTTTGTATACAAAAAAAAAAAAAAAAAAAAAAAAAAATAAATAAACTTCTACCTATATATATTACGTGCGATTGTGTGGTCACTACCCAGTCCTCGATAACTAAAAACCCGTGCAATTAACTTTTATACTGACCGCCAAACCGGTTAACGGCAATAGTTATGCAACTTATACAAAATCCCCATTATAAAATTAATGCGCAATCTTTCAAATTCATTCCGCATACCCCACATAAATTCTTTTTTCTCTTTTGGTCATATAGCTCTTCAACTGTTTCGGTTCTTATACATAACATGACTTCAAATATTCGGCTTTGAGCGTTCCTGCTGAAAGTAAATCCAGAAAAGCGCTTCGGACGCAAGACATTTATAAAATGCTGTTTTCGTATTTTACTATAATTATTTCTTCCATCTGTTAATAACGCTGAAATAGTTTTCTTTTTTTTTTTGCTATGAATGTAAACTTAACAAATGAGTACATCTTTATTGACTGTTTTGTTAAGTTTTCTTGTTGAAACCAAATGTTGCATAAATATTTCTGGTCATTTTTTGCCAATGAGTGCTTGTAAACTATCTTGCAGTTCAGTACTTTTGATTTATTTGTATCAGTTGAATAATTTTAATGTAGTTTTATTTAGACGTTTGACATAAGTAATGTCTCCATTAAACAAAGATAAATGCAGTTGATAGACATATTACAAACAAACAACTCTATATGTAGTCTAGTTATTAGTGTCAATTAGCTGCTGGACGTATACATGATATCTTTTGTTCATATAAACATACATTAAAGGCCCCAACGCATAGAGAGTAGTGCAATTACACGCTATCGACAATCAGATTTTTATAAAATACGTTAAAAAAGCAACTAGGAGAAAAAAGTACTAGTACGTTGTTCTAAAAAATATTGATTTTTACCAAATGACTTTTTGTATGAACAAACAGGGACCCTTCACTTGAAGGTAAGATTAGTGAGGTAAATTGTAAAAAACAATATGTTTTTGAATTAAAAAAAGAAAGAAAGAGGATATCTATTTACAAGATAATATAAAAACGTTCTTTTAATTAAATTATTTTTTTTTCTTCTTAAAACCAGGGCATACTACCTCATTATTGAAAAATTCTAGATACTTTATTCGTGGGATTTACATCACGCGATTTACCCTCTTAATTCTACTACCTATTTTGGTAGAATACTAAAAGTTATGAATTGTATCAAATTTACGGGTTATCAACTCCTTGTCTAGGATCTAAAAATAACATGTCTTAGAAAATCTCCTTTGGCGGATATTTACAAATATTTTCTGTATTCTGACGCAAATGCATAAAACTTGAATGTTTATGCAATGGGAAACATAAAATCAACAGATTTTAAAAAAATTTGGTAAAAAATTCAAAAAAACAGGTGAGATAAAAGTTATTTGCTCTGAAAAATCAACCTCCAAGGTGTTTCCCTATACTAGTAGGCAGACAAATCTCGTCTACTTTCTGTATATGTATTTTTTATCCGACTTTCACGAGTTTTGGTTTTTTGAATAGCAATTATTCTACGCTACCGTTTTTTAAAATTAAAAAGGCCACACGATTACAAATTTGAGATTTTTTATTTGTACATGAACAGAATGCAGATAATGTGTACTTTAAAATATTGTTGACGAGACTTAATATTGGCACATTTGCATATTTATTTTACGGACATGTATACTAATAATACTATTGCGATGGCAGTTGTCAAAATACATTCAAATTGGTCGCAATTTGCAGTCCATAGTCAGCACTTTTGTGTTGACATGAATTACCATTGATATGGTCATAATTATAAATTAACTGTTAACAGGACTTTGAATTTTTCTAACTGGTAAGGATTGTCTACTCTAGGAATAGATTACATTAGCTGAATTTTGCAAAACCTTTCGGAATGTTGGGTCATCAATGCTCTTAAACTTCGTACTTTATTTGGCCTTTCCACCCTTTTTTATTCTTGCGTCACTGAAGAGTCCTTTGTAGACGAAACGCGTTATTGGCGTACACAATTTTAAGCCGGCTATCTATGATGAGTTTATTTGCAAAGTACTCCAAATTTTGCAGTATATGTAACCTCTTTATAATACTAGTATCGTGTTTATATGCATGTTTATTCTCCTTTTATTCACGGTAAAGTCTATGAAATGAAAGAATAATTTTATCGATTTTGGCCATTCCGAATCGCTCTTCTGAAATTACCATCACCAGGAGCGCTTAAAACCGACGAGAAACCCGAGGTCGAATAAAGTCTTGGTGCGCTATAGAGTTTCATGACCAAAAAAAAGATATAAAAAGATTACGGAGAAGCCAAAACCGCGATAGGTCACTTTGGCTGGGAGATATTTGTCTCTTAGTTTCGTTATAATCTCTAAATTATCAGCGTAATATTATGAACTTCGTATGAAACTAGTCTGTATTATCCAAAACTTTACAAGTTTTATGCACCCGAAGTCACGCCTGGTAAACCACCAAAACTCAACCAAATGGTTAAGCGAGAAAAATGTTTACTGGCACTTCCTGTTGAGCTTTTCTGGTACAAAATATCAAAAATATAGATAGGGTAGGTCGACTTTTCATCAATTTATTGCCAATCTGTAAATATTTTCTTAAATAGGAGAATGTCATGCCATAGATAGACATTTTCATCCCCCTTTTTGCAATATTTTGTATCAAATAAATGCAAATTGTTTCCTTGATACACTTAAAAGCGATTACATTTTACCATTTTACCTATTGTAAATCAAATCTATAAAAGATGCTGTTTCCATAAATATGCACATACATGACACAACAGTAAGCCTTATTTGTTAGGACGCAA